AAATCTTTTGTAACATTATAAATGTCTTTACTATCACTTTCAGTCAATTTAATGCATGCTTGCTGATTAAAAGAATAAATTTCTATTTAGTTCTTGGCATTTTTTATTATTGCAGTGATCATGCTCACAGTATGTTTTGCTGCAGCGGTGAGACGTTTTACACCATAACATGCTTTAAATGAACCCAGTTTAAAGCACTGTGGCATCACCTTTCATGCAGTTTTTTTGAGTGTCCTACCACATGCTTTTAATTTCTAGATCATGCAGAAAGAGTTATCTGTATCTCTCCGTCTTTAATACTAGTGCACAATCGCAGTTTTGCAGCGTATGAAGATTAGAGAACGCTGTGATACAGTCTTTTCCTCGACTCCCTGAGGATCTCTCTCCGAGGGGCACTTTTCAGAACATTTGTTCATTAAATCTAATTTGTTAGGCAAGCTCTGCCCAATATTGTTGTGGAAAATGTTACATATATTAATGTTCAGGATTCTTTGATGAATAGAAAGTTGAAAAGAACAGCATTTATTTGAAATAGAAATCTTTTGTAACATTATAAATGTCTTTACTATCACTTTCAGTCAATTTAATGCATGCTTGCTGATTAAAAGAATAAATTTCTATTTAGTTCTTGGCATTTTTTATTATTGCAGTGATCATGCTCACAGTATGTTTTGCTGCAGCGGTGAGACGTTTTACACCATAACATGCTTTAAATGAACCCAGTTTAAAGCACTGTGGCATCACCTTTCATGCAGTTTTTTTGAGTGTCCTACCACATGCTTTTAATTTCTAGATCATGCAGAAAGAGTTATCTGTATCTCTCCGTCTTTAATACTAGTGCACAATCGCAGTTTTGCAGCGTATGAAGATTAGAGAACGCTGTGATACAGTCTTTTCCTCGACTCCCTGAGGATCTCTCTCCGAGGGGCACTTTTCAGAACATTTGTTCATTAAATCTAATTTGTTAGGCAAGCGGTTGAGGTAGAATTCCATACTGTTACCTCCCAAACTAATGAAATGATTCAGTACTGCAGCAGAGCACGGGAGGTGCACTTACTATTCTGAGAACGTTAGATATAATGAGCCAAAGCAATCAATGGCCCTAAGGTTATGTACTGAGCAATTATCATTTGCCAAGCTAAACTGCATTCGTGTCAAAAACATTTTTGGTCTACGGAACGCCTGTTGTATTTCCACACGTGACTAGAGTCACAAGAGATATCGCCCGGCATTACTGTAAAAACATGAAAGGTGTTCTTTGAGGGCTTGATTCAAGTTCTATTTCACCGCCATGACAATAGCACCGGGTTGGTTGCTCGTGAAGAAAGGCTATTGCCGGATGAGCTGCTTTTGCGTTGGAGAGCTGACACACTTTCCCAGTCCTAAGATGCCTTGCGTGAACTATAGCCTGAAAAAGCTTTGAAATGTTTGCATGTTATTTGTGAGATGGGGCCTGATAGCATTGGTCAAATGCACTGATGTTATTCTTTGAAAACCTTCTGGCGTGCAAATCTCATCTCGAACTCCTGTGATGTATTTTAGACTACAACATACGCCTCCTCTGACCTCAGACGTCTCGCTTTCACGAGGTATGTAACAATGTAAATATGTCCTGAAGTAAAATAGAGTCAGTCTCTTGTGGTTAGCATCTCTGTTAGGGTTTGCAGGACAGAAAACTGTTTCTTTGCTATTAAAAGGTTTGCTGATACTTTTATTGTAGCTGCAGTGTTTCTGGTTGCCATGACAAACTTCACATGCTTGCTGCTTCTCTCAGTGAATTTAGAAATGCCCCCAAAAAATTATGAACTGAAAGAAGCCAGTCCATTTCTTTGTGCAAAATGTGAAAATGCATGCATTAAACATGCGTAAATAATATAAAAGTAATAACAATATAAAGTAATTAATTAATATTAATATAAATTGTTATATTATTTTACTTAATGATTAATTATTATATATTATTATTTATTTATATTATATATTATTAATATTTTTATAATTTATTTATTAAATGAATTATTTATTTATTCGTTCATTCATTCATTCATTTATCATTTGAAAGTTTGGGGCTGACTTTTTTATTTATTTATTTATTTTTACTGTTTTTGAAAGAAGTCTCTCACCAAGGCGACATTTATTTGATTAAAAGTATAGCAAAAACTGTAAAATTGTGAAATATTATTACAATTCAAAATAACTGTTTTCTATTTGAATATCTGTTCAAATGTAATTTATTCCTGTGATCAAAGCTGAATTTTCAGCATCATTACTCCAGTCTCATTTGAAAGTTTGGGGCTGACTTTTTTATTTATTTATTTTTTTTTACTGTTTTTGAAAGAAGTCTCTCACCAAGGCGACATTTATTTGATTAAAAGTATAGCAAAAACTGTAAAATTGTGAAATATTATTACAATTCAAAATAACTGTTTTCTATTTGAATATCTGTTCAAATGTAATTTATTCCTGTGATCAAAGCTGAATTTTCAGCATCATTACTCCAGTCTTCAGTGTCACATGATCCTTCAGAAATCATTCTAATATGCTGATTTGCTGCTCAAAAAACATCTCTTATCATCATTATTAATGTTATTTATGTTGAAAAGAATTGTGCTGCTTCATATTTTTGTGTAAACTATTATACACTTTTATTTTCAGTATTCTTTGTTGAATAGAAAAATCTAAATAACATTTAAATTTGAAAAAGTAATATTTTGTAACAATGAATGTCTGATGTTTTCAATAGTAAAAAGAATAAAACCAGCAAAGTTGGAGCTGCATTAAGCGTTTTAGCTAATTGAATGCTGTCTGTGCACACTTGCTAATGCTCTTGTCTTGGGTAATTCACTCAAAATCTGTTTAAATGCATGAAACCATAAGTCAGAAATGTTCGAGCCCAAGCAGAATAAATGATGCAATTATGCAGATGTGATTATGGATATGTGGTTTTTACGCCTCTATCCCAGAAGGCAAGCCATGCACGCTGATGCTAATAGCGCTCGAACAGCAGCCAGATTTTGCCCCAATAGGCTAATTGTCTTCTGGTGACACCCCATGAGTGGTGCAAAACGCTTCAGCATCCCGTCTCATCATGAGAGGCCGGTCTTCTGACTAGAAAGGCTCATTGTGGCTCACAGCTGTTCGACTTTAGCGATTAAATTCGTCAATCTCACTTTGTCGGACCGTTGAATGGCCACGGATAGATATCAGTTCTTCCCTCCAAGTCTGTCAGTGCAGTCATTAAACCTATATCAGACTGTCCGGTTTGTCAATAAGTGTTTGGTTTGCACGGAAGCAAACACACGACACGCTGCTTTACAGCCGTTTTCCTCCTTTTGTGCAGACAGTGATTATTTTGTTTTCCCACAAGCAATAGGCTTGTTTTCCATGCAGATTTAAATGAAGAGTTCAGTTAGAGATGAAAATATGTTTTCATATACTCACTCTCATGTCTCATATCTTTTTTTTTTTCTTTTTTTTTAAGTGTTCCTGTAGATCAACCAATATGCATTTGATTCCAGTGGAGTGCAGGTATGGATAAAATGTGTTTTTGAATATTTAGCCTATTCAGGAGATTTAGCATAATATCAACAATTCTGCGTTTCATGCAACTAATACAGTGATTGATCCTCTCAACCTTTTTTCCATATAAAAGCTTTGTGAGAGGAACAGGCCAAAATACTGTATAAATCATCGGTTTAAACATGTCAAATCTTGTTCAAACTTTGGCACGCTCAAATATGGCACTTCACAATGCAATATTCATTCTTTCTTGTTCAGTCTTTTGCACAGTACAGTGCATGCATTTTTTGACGTTTAAAGCCGGAAGCAATTTGTCTGAAGAGTGAATAATATTACACAATGAATCAGTGAACGTCTGGTACTTTTAGGGTAATTACTTTATTTTTTTAAATCTTATTCAACCTTTTGCACATTACAATATGGCACATTGCAAAGAAGTCTTGCTGCGATAGACGGTGTTTTTGGTTACCGGTGTTAAGCCGCAACACCGGCTACGTCATTTGCCTACCGCGGCACCGCCCCCCACCGTCGTTTAGATTTTTTTATAGTAACAAAAATAATTTAGACTCGTTCTCAGTTAGAGGACAGATACTTTTAAAAACGAAACGCTCAGTGCAGCGTGCCGAACCGTGCGCGAACGACAGTGCACCACGGAGCAGGAATCAGATTTTATTTATCACGTGAGGAGAGCTGACTGACAAGAGTGAGGTGAGAAAGACAAGACGGTTGCAGGAGATTGTTTAGAAAGGAAATGCAAAGGCGCCTGTTTGGCAATATTTTAGATTTTGAAAAGCCTATTGACTGGAAGTTTTTTTAAACATTCGTTTCTTATTTATTTGGTTCCACAGTGTTTGCTGATTACTTTATTTAAACTTTGTGTATTTCATTTATTTTATTTTACATCAAGGTGTTTATGCCGTGCCTCCAAGCTTTCTTATTCGTTTTGCTAATAAACGTTCTATGCGAAAGTGAAAGTAAAATGCGCACAAGCCATTTGAAAGCTAAGAAAAGAGGGAAACTTAAACGAACTAACGCCCCCCCTTAACGGTGATACCGGTGTTGTCACACGTTGATTAACCGATGGGAAAATTTCCTCACCGTCACAACCCTATTGCAAAGCATGCATTTTTTTCTTTTAGCAGATGCTTTGATCCAAAGCAACTTAAAAATGAAAACCATCACAAGCAAATTATCATACGAGTGAACAGTATTTATAGTATGCAATGAATCAATGAAATTATTTGGTACTTTTAGATGGATTGACTGACTGACTGACTGACTGACTGATTGATTGGTTTAAGATGTCATATCTTTTGCACATTAAAACATGGCACATTTCAATGCATGCATTTTTAAAAAATTTATAATACACAATGTTTTATGTAATGTACAGTATATGTAATATATTTGTAAAAATACATTACATATAAAACATTGTGTATAATAAATAAAAAGGAAAAAAGTGCATATATATATATATATATATATATATATATATATATGCTAATTTATTTATTTTTTTGTACTTTTAGGGTTATTTATTTATTTACCAAATTTTGTTCAACCTTTTGCACATCAAATTATAGCACATAGCAATGCATGTTTTTTTTTTCAATTCCAACTTATTTGGTGTTGATATTCCTTCAAGTTGTCCATTGCAAATCGAAAATGTTTGGGTCACAGTGATGTCACTTTTCCTCACAAAGCTGTTATATGTTTTCAAAAGACTTGAAATATCATGCATGCATCATATGCACTACTGTTATGGTGCTTAGTTATGAAGATTCTGCATTTGCAGCATATGGGTTTGAAAAGACTTGAGGATGAGTAAATCATCTATTTTTGGGTGAACTATTCCTTTAATAAGCAAAGCAGGAAAAGTAAGGCTAGATATCTGATATAAAATATTACTTTGCATATGAGCTGAAGCATCTTTATTGCATGTGTTTATGAGCACATCTACATGCACGATCCGGCTAGTGTTTTAAGAAAGATCTTCAAATCAGGCTTCCTCATTTAAATTTCCCTTCTTCCCCTTGTTCCGTGAGCTCCAATCTTCAAACCAATCTCCTTATGTAAATTGGATCTGATCTAATATATATATAAAAAGAGAGCAGGAGAGGACAGTACCCTCATTTACCATTATTCTCTGGAATATTCTCTCTCGCATTCATCGTCGTCTCTCTGCTCTCGCTCGATCTTCTGAAAGGTATTCGGGGAATTTGTTTTCTTTTTTTCCCACGTTCACCATCGCGTTTCTTTCTTTTAGTAAATAATGCTATTTCATCCCGCCGACTGTATAAGAAAGCGTTTCATGATAATCACGCCAAGTCGGAAAGTTTGGATTCTCTTAGTCTTTCGCATCGCTTTGGTATTCTGTGTTAATAAAGCACATGCAAAATGCGTGACCGACGTGTTTTCTCTGCTCGGGTTTTACGCTACAGCTCTCTGTGTGTTTCTGTCGTGTTTTTCTGTTGCTTTCGCCTGAAGTGACTTTGTGAAAGGACAAGTATTGCTAAGTAAGAGCGCTGAATAAAAGCTGATTGATAGGCTTTAGTTTTCAAAGCTGACTTTTGAAGTGCTGTACACTGGAGAATGAGTTTCTGGAGGTTTGAAATAAAAGTGTAGAGGCTTTTGTTGAAGGACTTCTGTGGAAGCATATCTACTTTTTTATGTATATATTCTATTAAAGCTCTCAAAGTCAGTGGAGCTACTGTAAAGTGCATTAAAAAGTCTTAATCTAACCAGACAGTGTTCAATTGAGACGTTTAAATGTCTTAATGCTTTCTATATAATACTGTCTTTTGTATCCATTTTTGCAACTGTTAAGGGAAAGGGTTCTTGAATTAAAATATATATCAATTAACCTTAAAGAGCCTGAAGAAGAAAGTCTCTTAACGTTTGCCAAACCATTAGAAGCCAGAGTTCAATTGCCTGAGTAAATAGGTTGTTTTAAAGGCTCTCGCTAAACAATTTAGCCTGCAATCTAAAACTGATTAGTTTTATTAGTAGCTTTTCATCAGACGATGGTTTTAATATTGTCCATTGTTGATTTTTGCTGTGTTTCCGTATCATTGGCCCTATCAGACAAAGCTGAAATATACTCAAACTTTAATGCAAATATTCCTTGAAGACCCCTAACTGTGTTTTTTTTTACTTTTGCTTTTAGAAAATTATATATTTTGATTTAAAAAATGCCAAAGTTCAATAAATACATTTTTAATTATGCATACAAATGTTGGTTCTGATTTTAAATTCCAACTGGTTGTACTGACTATACAGTATGTGCATGTGTAATATATAACAAACATGTGACTAATGATTTGCATTACTTTGGCAGAAGAAGATTTATTGACTGATTGATTGACAACAACAGCAACAACAACAACAATAATAATAATAATAATAATAATAATAATAATAATAATAATAGATCATTCATAATAATAATCATAATCATAATAATCATACTAATCATAATCATAATACATGTATGTATATTATTATTATTATTAATAGTAGTAGTAGTAGTAGTAGTATTTTTTTTTTATAATTTAACTAATTTAATAATTTAACAGTGGTGACTTAATTGATAATAAATGGTGTCTCTATAATAATAATAATAATAATAATAATAGATAATAGATAATTCATAATAATAATCATAATCATAATAAATGTATTATTATTATTATTAGTAGTAGTAGTACTTGTTAGGGATATGCCGGTATCAAATTTTCATGTTGCGATTAATTGCTAATGCTTTTATCACGGTATACGGTATTATC